GGTTCAAGTGATTCTCCTGCCTCGGCCTCCTGAATAGCTGGGATTACAGGCACCCACCACCACGCCCAGCTAATTTTTGTATTTTTAGTAGAGACGGGGTTTCACCATGTTTATCAGGCTGGTCTCAAACTTTTTTTTTTTGTTAACAAGTGTTTGGTATGGTCTCAAACTTCTGACCTCAGGTGATCCGCCCACCTGGGCCTCCCAAAGTGCTGAGATTACAGGTGTGGGCCAACACGTCCAGCCTGTCAAAGGTTTTAAATATTGTTATTTCAGAGAACCAGCTTTTGATTTCATGGATCCTTTCTTCTGTATTTTGTATTCTATTCTATCGATTTCTGCTCTTCATCATTTTTTTTTTCATATTTTTCCTGTCACATTTCCCTAGGTTTGCTGCGTTGTTCCTTTATTAACCTCTGGATTAAATGTTGAACTCAGTTTCCAGTCTTCTTCTCTAACCTAATCAGTTAAGGTTATATATTTTCCTTTAGATTCTATTAAAACTTCACAAGTTTTGGGCCAGGCTCCATGGCTCACCCCTGTAATCCCAGCACTTTGGGAGGCTGAATCCCAACTAGCCAGGATTACAGGCAGATCATTTGATGTCAGGAGTTCGAGACCAGCCTGGTCAACATGGTGAAACCCTGTCTCCTCTAAAAATACAAAAGTTAGCTGGGCATGGTGACATGCACTTGTACTCCCAGATACTTGGGAGGCACAGGCAGGAGAATCGCTTGAACCCAGGGGCAGAGGCTGGAGTGAGCCAGGCTCTCACCACTGCCCTCCAGTCTGGAGGACAGACAAGAGACTCTGTCTTAAAAAAACAAAGCAAAACAAAAAAAGACTCAAACCAAAAGGCTCCACAAGTTTTGAAATGTATTTCTATGATCACTCTGTTTTAAATTTGTGCCCATCAACTTCCTCTTTTCCATCCTGCTGTCTGCCCCCGGGGCTGCCTGTAGGAGCTACTTCAAGGGGCTGCTTGCTGTGCCCTGTCTTCCATTTGGGTTTGACCAGTGAGGATTCCTGGCAGGAGACGGAAGAGGAGATGGAGGTCAGGGTATTTATTTCCCTGGGCTCCTTTCTGAGATTGCCTCAAGCTGCTTATGTCCCTTGATAGAAGGTCACTGCTTTTTTTTTTTTTTTTTGAGATGGAGTCTTGCTCTACCACCCAGGCTGGAGGGCAAGGGCGCGATCTCGGCTCACCACAACCTCTGTCTCCTGGGTTCAAGCGATTCTCCTGCCTCAGCCTTCTGAGTAGCTGGAATTACAGGTATGTACCATCACACTTGGCTAATTTTGTATTTTTAGTAGACACAGGGTTTCTCCATGTTGGTCAGGCTGGTCTCAAACTCCCAATCTCAGCTGATGTGCCCACCTCAGCCACCCAAAGTGCTGGGATTACAGGTGTGAGACACCATGCCCGGCTGGTCATTGCTTCTTGCATGGTGGTTTGCTCTACAAAAAAATCTCACTTGGGATTTTTCTAACTTCTTTCTGTGATCCCTTTGGACCTATGGATTGTGACAGTTCTACTGTTGCTAGTATGAGCTCCTCCACTGTTCCTTGTGATTCCCACATATCTTACCCAGGCTAGAGTGCAGTGGTGTCATCACTGCTCACTGCAGCCTCTACCACCTGGGCCCAAGTGAGTCTCCTGCCTCAGCCTCCCAAGTAGGTGGGACTACAAGCTTGCACCACCACGTTTGGCTTTTTTTTTTTTTTTTTTTTACAGAGACAGGATCTCCTTATGTTGCCTAGGCTGGTCTTAAACTCCTGGGCTCAAGAAATCCTTCTGCCTTGGTCTCCCAAAGTGCTGGAATTACAAGTGTGAGCCACAGCACCGGTCCTTCATATTCATATTCTTTTTTTTTTTTAGACGGAGTCTTGCCCTGTTGCCCAGACTAGAGTGCAATAGCATGATCTCGGCTCACTGCAACCTTTACCACCTGGGCTCAAGCGATTTTCTTCCTTCAGCCTCCCGAGTAGCTGGGATTACAGGCACACACCATCGTGCCCACCTAATTTTGTATTTTTTTTTTTTTTTTGAGACAAAGTCTTGCTCCGTCGCCAGGCACCAGGCTGGAGTGCAGCAGTGTGATCTCGGCTCACTGCAACCTCCGCCTCCGGGGTTCAAGCAGTTCTCCTGCCTCAGCCTACCGAGTAGGTGGAACTACAGGAGTGCAAGACCATGCCCAGCTAATTATTGTATTTTTAGTAGAGACGGGATTTCACCACGTTAGCCAGTATGGTCTCGATCTCTTGCGCTTGTGATCCGCCCTTCTCAGCCTCCCAAAGTGCTGGGATTACAGGCGTGAGCCACCGCACCCAGCTAATTTTGTATTTTTAGTAGAGATGGGATTTTAACATGCTGGCCAGGCTGGTTTGGAGCTCCTGACCTCAGGTGATCCCCCAGACCTCAGCCCCCCAAAGTGCTGGGATTACAGGTGTGAGCCACCGTGCCTGGTCAGTCTTTCATATTCTTTAATAATCCAAAAAGCTTTTCAAGGTTGTATTATTCATTAATTATTATTATTATTTTTTTTCCAATGCCCTGGCTATCCATGAAAACTCTCATTTTCTTCCCTTACTTCTTCCCTCCCACCATGAAATCTTTTTGGTCACTTGTGTCATTTTATGTCCCAGCTCACTGCAACCTCTGCCCTACCCCCCCCCGCCGGGGTTCAAGTGATTCTCCTGCCTCAGTCTCCCGAGTAGCTGGGATTACAGGCACCCGCCACTGCACCCAACTAATTTTTGTACTTTTAGTAGAGACGGGGTTTCACCATCTTGGCCAGGCTGGTCTCGAACTCTGACATCGTGATCCACTGGCCTTGGCCCAAAGTGCTGGGATTACAGGCGTGAGCACAGAGCTGGCCCTTATTTTTTAGTTCCTAAAAAATGCCTTCTGGAACTGTGGATGCTAGAGCCTTTATCATCTTTTCCTGTACCGTTAATCTAAAATCACATCATTAAATCTGGATTATAAGACTATGGAGCGGGTGCAGTGGCTCAGGCCTGTAATCCCAGCACTCCCAAAGAGTCAGCTTTCTTTTTCTGTTCTTTTTTTCCCTTTTTTTTAGAGATGGGCTTTCACCATGTTAGCCAGGATAGTCTTCATCTCCTGACCTGGTGATCGGCCCACCTCGGCCTCCCAAAGTGCTGGGATTACAGGCGTGAGCCACCATGCCCGGCCGATTTTCTTTTTCATCAATCACATCTTGAAAATACAGCCGGGCTGGGCCTGGTGGCTCACGCTTGTAATCCCAGCACTTTGGGAGGCTGAGGCAGGTGGATCACTTGAGGTTAAGAGTTCGAGACCAGCCGAGCCAACATGGTGAAACCCTGTCTCTTCTAAACATGCAAAACTTAGCTGGGCTTGGTGGCACATGCCTGTAATCCCTGCTATTTGGGAGGCTGAAACAGGAGAATCGCCTGAATCCAGGAGGCAGCGGAGGTTGCAGTGAGCTGGGATCACGGCATTGAACTCCAGCCTGGGCGACAGTGAGACTCCCTGTCAAAACAAAACAAAAACTACAGCCCTTGATTTCACATGGTTATTTGTTAATTCTCCCAAATAGCATATTTATTCAGGATGTGTCAATTCTCCAGCTAACTCGTCCCATCTCTTATTGGACCATTTTCCTACGAAGATGCAAAATACGTGGGTGGAAGTCGGAAGGTGGGAGGGGAAAAGACACAGCATCACACGGAATCTCTTGTAACTTTGTTGGCAAGGTGGGGGGACATTAGATTGTAGTTCACCCCACTCATGTAATTGTTTTACAGAATAGTTAAAATTATTCAAGTGACACAGTAATATATTTCTTTTTTCAAAATCCTTTTTTTTTTTTTAGTAGAGTCTTGAGATATTTCCCAGCCTGGTCTCAAAGTGCTGGCCTCAAGCGATCCTCCCACCTCGGCCTCCCAAAGTGCTGGGATTACAGTCATGAGTCACCGCGCCAGGCCAGCCATGTTTGTTTAAAAATAAAAAGAGAAATAAGAAACCCTACGCAAAGTCCCCAATCGTTCTCCTCGCTGGCGTTTGAGGACACTTTCCCAGCGTCCTTCCTCTGTTTTTTTTTTTTTTTTTTTTTGAGACGGGTTTTCGCTCTTGTTACCCAGGCTGGAGTGCAATGGCGCGATCTCGGCTCACCGCAACCTCCGCCTCCTGGGTTCAGGCAATTCTCCTGCCCCAGCCTCCTGAGTCGCTGGGATTACAGGCACGCGCCACCATGCCCAGCTGATTTTTTGTATTCTTAGTAGAGACGGGGTTTCACCGTGTTGACCAGGATGGTCTCGATCTCTTGACCTCGTGATCCGCCCGCCTCGGCCTCCCACAGTGCTGGGATGACAGGCGTGAGCCACCGCGCCCGGCTCTGTTTTCTTTACTGCGTATGCATCGTTTGTTTTGACAAAAGGACACGTCCAGGGTCGGGCTGAGACCCCGAGGGGAGGCGCACTGGCCAGCTCGTCTACGCAAAGCAGCGAGGCAACCGCGGAGAAAACCTACCGGCGTCCGGCCCTGCTCTGCGGCGCGAGGGGCTCTGAATTTCACTTCTGGCGTCGCACTCGCCACGGTCGGCTGGCGGAGCCGCTACTTTAGAGGCTGGGGAGCGGGCAGGGGGGTCGCCTCGCAGCCAGGACGCCGGGCGTGTGTTCCCGCCCACGGGACCCGCAGGAACCTGACACCGTGCGGAGCGCTGCGAAAGGCACGGTCCCGTCACCGCCGTCCGCTCCGTCAGCCAGGCCCGCGAGGCCGAAACGCCAGCGGCCGCCCTCGGAATCCAGGAATGGACCCCGCGCCTGCGAGGCTGGCCCTGGAGCCCGGAGATGAGGCGCCGGCAGCGGCAGAGAGACGCAGGGAGCGGCGGCCACCGGGCAGCGGCCACCGGGCAGCCAACCGGAGAGCGCGCGGCGCGCCGGCCCGGCGGGAAAGTGCGCGTGCGCAGCCCGCGGGGGCGGGGCTTGGGGCGGTCAGTGCGCCTGCGCACGGCGCGCGGCGAGGTGGGGGAGGGCGGTCCGTGTGTGTCTGTGTTGTTGTTCGGCGGCGGCGGCGGCGGCGGCGGCGGTAAGATGGCTGCCCACGGGGGCTCCGCGGCGTCCTCGGCGCTGAAGGGGTTAATTCAGCAGTTCACCGCCATCACCGGTAAGAGACGCGGTTACCGGCAGGTGGGGAGTGGGGTCCGCAGCGGGCGGCGGGTCTGCCCCGGGCTCCCCCTTACCTTCACGCATTCCGCCTTCGGGCTTTCCCCGCAGCTGCCGTCCTCCCTCCGGAGGAACAGGCGACGACGGCCCTGGGGGGTCTCCGGGTTCAGGCGGGAGACAGCCCCCCCGCACCCCCGACACCCTCGTTCTGGGTCTCCTAGTAGCGTGGAGGGAGATCCCCCACCCCCGCCTGCCCAGACCTGGGAATGGACCGAGCCCGTCCGCCCCCGCCGGCCCGGGGACCCGGGGCGGGGGGAGTGGGGGGCCGCGCCCGGGCCACCGCCCTCCTCCTCCCCTCATCATCCTTCCGTGTCTGTGCAGCCCTGGGGTGCGGCGCATCTCCTCACCCCTTTCCCTTTCTTCCCGGCCAGGTCGTTCTGCCCCGGTCCTCGGCCTGCCCTTCCCCTTTCTGGGCCCCTCGGAGCCATCGCCATGGCCCTGGCGGGTTCGGGCCCTCCCGCCTTCACCGCGAGGCCGGTGGGTTCGGCAGTGCCTGTGCCCTTACCTGGGGATAGGCCGCCAGAAGCGGGGGGTGCTGCGGAGGACCTGAGGGACTGAGGCTTTCAGGGAAGAATGAGGGGGAACCCCCAAGCTGAATAGGGGAGGCCTGGAGGAATCCTGGGTGGCGTTTCCCACCTCCCCATAATAAAATGATAAAGACGGAGACGATGGCGCCGGGGCCTCCTGCCGATAAGATAGGGATGGCGGCAGAAACTTTGTGAGAGAAAATCTGTTTCTGGGTGTCAGTATCCCCGAAACCCTAGGCCTAGGTGGTTCTCTCCCTTTGGACCCCTGCGAAGGGCACACGCAGATCCTCTTACCGCCTGGAGGAAAGGCCCTAAGCCATTCTGTGAATTCGCTGTCTTGTTTCTCTCTGAGGGTGCTGAACTTTTCTTGCATGAGTTATTAGAGGGCGGAGCAAATGATGAAGTTCTCTGTGGAGTGATTTGAGAGAAGAGTACTCCATGTGCCTGAGTGTAATTTCGCCGTTCTAGTTTGTCATTTTGGAAGGAGGTCAGAATGTGAGTTCTCTCTCTCAGCGGATCTGTATTTTGTGATTTGTTAGATGCAGAATTTGTTTCCACTGTTAATGTTCTCAGAATTTAACGTAAGATCTGGTTAAGTAAAATTTTACATCGTTTTAACTACCACAGGTTGTATACTAGTTACCGTTTTATTATTAAAGCTGGTTTTATTTTTTGCTTTGCAATGATAACGAGATGTTTGACGTGTTATGTAGCTTGTGGCCATGGAACATCAGGTCAAAGTTAGTGAAGTAAAATTTGTAATAAAATTGGGGTGAGGAGTCATAATATTTTCAAACTTTGTGATTGGGTTATCATATTGAAGATATAAAGGACTGGATTATTTATTTATTTATTTATTTATTGAGACAGAGTCTTGCTCTGTCGCCCAGGCTGGAGTGCAGTGGTACGATCCCGTTTCACTGCAACCTCCGCCTCCCGGGTTCTAGCAGTTCTCCTGCCTCAGCCTCCTGAGCAGCTGGAACTACAGGCGCATATCACCACGCCCAGCTAATTTTTTGTATTTTTAGTAGAGACGGGGTTTCACCATATTGGCCAGACTGGGCTTGATCTCCGACCTCGTGATCCACCCGCCTCAGCCTCCCAAAGTGCTGGGACTACAGGCGTGAGCCACCGCGCCCGGCCAGGATTGGATGATTATATTAAATATATAAAAAGATTTCCTAATCTCTAACAAATCATTGCTGTGGAGAAGATTATTGTGTATATAAGTTAGTGTTGTTGCATTATGCTTATGTAGAAAAATCTTTGCAGTGAATCTGAGACGTGAAAATCATTATTAGTACTTTCTCTAGATTTCCTAGAGATGGTTTATGATGCCACTTGGGCCTGGCGCGGTGCCTCATGCCTGTAATCCCAGTACTTTGGGGAGACGGAGGCTGGAAATTCACTTGAGGCCTGGAGTTGGAGACCAGCCTGGGCAGAACATAGAACCCCATCTCTACAGAAAAAAAAGAGCTGAGGAGCCAGGCGCGGTGGCTCACGCCTCTAATCCTAGCACTTTGGGAGGCTGAGGTGGGTGGATCACCTGAGGTAAGGAATTCAAAATCAGCCTGGCCATCATGGTGAACCCCATCTTTCAAGAAAAAAGAAAAGAGCTGGATGTAGTGGCACTGACCTGCAGTTTCAGCTACTGAGGAGGCTGAGGTGGGAGGATTGCTTGAGCATAGGAGTTCAAGGCTGCAGTGAGGCCACTGCACTCCATCCCTGGCAAGAAAGCAAGACCACCTCTCCCCCCACCCCCCCCCCAAAAAAAAAAGAAAGAAAGAGAAAAAAGCCACTTCTTTTTGTTGTTGTTGTTGTTGTTGTTAGTTTGAAACACAGTCTCCCTCTGTTGCCAGGCTGGAGCACAGTGGCATGATCTTGGCTCACTGCAACCTCCACCTACCGAGTTCAAGCGATTGTCCTGTCTTATTAGCCTCCTGGGTAGCTGGAACTACAGGCATGTGCCACCAGACCCAGGTAATTTTTGTATTTTTTAGTAGAGGCGGGGTTTCATCATGTTGGCCTGGCTGATCTCAAATTCCTGACCTCAAATGATCCACTCACCTCAGCCTTCCAAAGTGGTAGGATTGCAGGTGTGAACCACCACACCCGGCCCTAAAAGCCACTTAATTAATTTTCAGTTTCTTGGCCAGGCATGGTGGCTCATGCCTGTAATCCCAGCACTTTGGGAGGCTGAGTGGGGCAGATCACCTGAGGTCAGGAGTTTGAGACCAGCCTGACCAACATGGAGAAACTCTGTCTCTACTAAAAATACAAAATTAGCTCAGCGTGGTGTCTCATGCATGTAATTCCAGCTACTTGGAGCGGGGGCCTGAGGCAGGAGAAATGCTTGAACCAGGGAAGCGGAGGTTTCGGTGAGCTGAGATTGCACCACTGTACTCCAGCCTGGACAACAAGAGTGAAACTCCGTCTTTCAGTTTCTTAGGCTAATTACTACTTTTCAGAAACTCTGATTGGTTTAACCCCACTTCTTCTGTTGCAACACTTTTATTAGGTATACACAAAAACCAAAATGTGATGAGATTTAACTCACTTAATTGCTTTAATTCTGTTTCTGTTAGTCTACACAGCTTGATTGCTGGATCAAGTTGTAGTCCCTCAATCAGTAGACAATGGCATTTGAAAATCTACAGAAGGGAAAATACCTTAGTTGTTCTTGAAATATTGTGAATTTCTATTGATAATTTTTGGGATTCTTTTTATAAGGTAGTGATTAACCATTAGAAACAGATGATTTCTTTTTGCTTTTTTGCATGTCTTAAAAAGAAATTTTTGAGGTTCTCTCCACATATGTTTAAATCATAGTGTTTATGATTAAAAGGTATTTGATATTTATTCATTGCTGGATGAATTATAGTGATGTTAATAGCTTATGCTCTGATTTCAAAAAGGCTTTACTTGGAAGCTCAACATTCTTGTAAAAACAAATGGATCATCAAAAATGTGAGTCCTTACTCCTCAGGCAGGAGCAAAAATTAAAAAAAGACAAAAATAAGTGTCTTACCCTTTTTTTTGGCATTTAGAAATAGAAGGGAAAATTGAAAGATTTTAGAACAGTCTTATTTTTTACTGAATAGGACAGATCTCTCTCTGATTCAGTGACTATGAAATAATGACTGGTTTTTTAGTTTTTTGTTTAATTTTTTTTAAGAGATGGAGGTCTCTCTTTGTTGCCCAGGCTGTTCTCCCACTTCTGGGCTCAGCCATCCACTTGCCTCGGCCTTCCCAGTAGCTGGGGCTACAGCTGCACATCACTGTGCCTGGTTTAGTAGTGGCTGATTTTAAAAAAGAGATTATTAAAAAGAATATCATACTTTTTTTTCTTTAGACAGACAGGTTCTTAACTGTCACCCAGACTGGCGTGTAGTGGTGTGATCATGGCTCACTGCAGCCTCCTCCTCTTGGGCTTGGGTGATCCTCCCACCTCAGCCTCTAGGGTAACTTTTTGTATTTTTTGTAGAGACTGGGTCTCACTTTGTTGCCCACGCTGGTCTCGAACTCCTGGGCTCAAGCAGTCTACCCACCTTGGCCTCCCAAAGTCCTGGGATTACAGGTGAGGGCGACTGTGCTTGGCTGAAATAATTTTGATTAAAGGAAAAAAACTAATCCTTCCTCTCACAACAGCAATATTTATTTTACATATTAACTTCCACTTATTGTTTATATACTTATGTTTATATTGTAGATGATGGTATATACAATTTCTGAGATTTTTTTTTTTTTTTTTTTTTTTTTTTTGACAGTCTTGTTCCGTCACCCAGGCTGGAGTACAGTGGCACAATCATAGCTCGATGCATCCTTTACTGCCTGGGCTCAAGTGATCCTCCTGCCTCAGCCTCCAGAGCAGTTAGGACTACAGGCGTGTGCCACCATTCCCAGCTACAATACTGAAATTTTCACTTAACATTATGCCATAAACATTTTTTGCGTATGGTCAAACTGGGAAGCAGGGGGCCAAGAGAAGTTATGTCCCTTGAAGTAACCACATTCGTTGAGAAGCTGTATATATATATATATATATATCGTGGTTTACCATTGATGCTTGCTTTTGAGACAAAATTTCGCTTTGTCACCTAGGCTGGAGGGCAGTGACGTGATCTCAGCTCACTGCTGCCTCTGCCTCCCAGGGTCAAGCAATTCTCCTACTTCAGCCTCCCAAGTAGCTGGGTTTATAGGCTCAAGTCACCATGCCCAGCTAAGTTTTGTATTTTTAATAGAGATAGAGTTTCACCATGTTGGCCAAGCTCATCTCGAACTTGACCTCAAGTGATCTGCCCACCTCGGCCTCCCAGAGTGCTGGGATTACAGGCATGAACCATTGCACCCAGCCCCACTGATGCTTTCGGTGTCATTTAAAGCTACATAAGAAAATCAGTCTTGTTACTTTTAT